GGGTTATATCGGGGCGGGCCAGTCACTTACCTATTGTCAAAGCTTTGACCCAGGCCCATTCGCTTGGACTTGGAGTGGTTGGCGGCGGTACGGGTCTCCGTCGGGCGAGATGGATCCCCTGACGTTGGGGTCGAGCGAGGCAGAGCCCCCCCCAGAGGCCGAGCAAGGTAGAGTGCAATCCCAAGGGTCGGGCGAGGCAGAGCCAGCCCATAGAGGTCGGGTGAGGCGGAGCCCACCCCTAGAGGTCGGGCGAGGTGGAGTCTGCCCTCAGAGGTCGGGTGAGGTGGAGCCCACCCCTAGATGTCGGGCAAGGTGGAGTTCGCCCTCAAAGGCTGGGTGAGGTGGAGCCAGCCCTCAGAGGTCAGGCGACGCGGAGCCAGCCCTTAGAGGTCGGGCGTGGCAGAGTCGGCCCTCAGAGGTTGGGCAAGGCGTAGTCGGCCCTCAGAGGTCGGGTGAGGCGGAGCCTACGGCCTCGGTGTCGGGCGAGGTGGAGCCAGCCATCAGAGGTCCGACGAGGCAGAGCCCACGGCCTCGGTGTCGGGCGAGGCGGAGCTCGCCCCTAGAGCTCGGGCGAGGGGGAGTCCGCGGCCTCAGTGTTTGGCGTAGCGGAGCATGCACACCTGGGGTCGGTTGGAGCTGTAGTCGCGCTCTTGACTGCTCGGATGAATCCATGTTGATGGTTATCAGCTCCTCCTATTCAGGTACCCTAGTATTGGTCCCCGACACCTCCAGCATCTCAAACTCCTCACCATGCTGGATAACTGTGTGGAGGAGCTGGGGAGGCGGAGAGGGCTCCTGTGCGATTTCTTCAATTTCAACAGTAGCCGCTCGCAGGGGTGCCCTCCTTGGTTGCTGTTGTGCTCAGACGGGTTGTCTGAGCATTGCCTCTGCTGTTGACGCCACCGGTGCCGCCGTTTGCTCGGCAACCATGGGTAGATCTTGTGCCGCGCTGCTCGACGCATCCCTGTGGCCTCTGCTCCTGCTCCAATAGGATCATCTGGCTTCGCCGCTGCGCCCCACAACCCCTCATCGCCTGGATCACCCTTGTCGTGCGCCCACCTCTAGGCGAGGTTAGGCTAGTAACTGGCGGCTGCTCCATGGTAGGGACGGCTGGTTTCGTAACCGCTGACTGCTCTACCACGGGGGCAACTAGATCCACTCCTCCTTGTCCCTGCTGGGCGTGGGCAATTTTTGGTTCTGCCGCACGCTCCACGCTGATAGCAGCAGCAGCCTACAGGTCCTCATTCGACTCCACACTTCGGCACACAAACAATTCGTCAAGAATCAGCACACCGTGCTCAAAAAGAATTACGCACAAAGAGGGAAACTTACAATTGGGACTCACGCTGTGCTGTTCAGAACCGGCGCGTTCGCACAGAACCGCCCACTCCAGCGTCCGAGCTACTAGGCACCTCCACAGACGCTGTTGGAGTAACCCACGTAGTGTTAGGGGCTTCGGTGGTCGCCTACGTTGCCACTACTAGAGTTGTCCGTGCAGTCTCGGGGACTACGATAGTCATCCGGGCTACCGCTGCTGCCCGAGCTTCCACTGCGGGTACTGCCAGAGCACTGTCAGGCACCGGCGTTGCGGTCTCCCGCATCCGTCGCCTTTCACGCGTCTCCACCCCTACCGGCACAGGCGTCGAAAGCATCATGGCCCTTGGGGAAGGAGGCGCTGCTGTCTCATCATCGTTCGACGAGCTCGACACATACATCTACCATCTTCGGGGCTGGGTGGTAGCTCCAATGCTCACCGGCTTCAATTCATGATGAGACAACCCTGTTGTCTTCCTTCTCTTCGGGGATGGCTCCTTGTCAGTAGACCGCTTCCCTCGAAGCTTCTCGCGGACAACAGCGTCCGCTCATCTTCATCTCCGTCATAAAGGTTGGCCGAGCTGTCCTCGCCTGTCTCCGAGCTAGCCCAATGCTGGGGATTGGTCAGCCGGGCGTCAACCCCCCTTGGCCAGTTTGCCGACGGCACCTCCGAGAAGTACATCGCCCGGTCCTGCCCATGAATCTTCAGGAACACAAATGAGTACCTTTCAACAGGCAAAGGAACAAATGAATCCAAAAATAAAACTCTTACCCGTGGTGGGAGGCTCCCTACATGGAAGGGCCTCTGCTGGTTGTCGATCCTAAGATGCCTTGCAAGGTTGAACATCATCGAGATGCACCATTTAACTTCATCCCGACTGATCTCCTCAGGCACCTCATGGGTCCCATCGGTCTCACCCCAGAATTCATATCTGAGATGTGCCCTCTCCTTGCTAGGCTAGACTCACTGAAAAGTAAAATTTGTTGCCACGATCACCCCATCCAACCTTCTCTGATCTATCAGCACCAAGAGCTCCATCACTTGCTCCATCCCGTTGGCACTAGTCCCCTTTGACCACCTGGCATTGCTAACGGGGATCAAATCCATGTTGCATGCCACATACGGCTCCACCTATGGCATGTAGAACCATCGTTGTGCCCAATACTTCACATTCGTGTTCAAAGGGGTGGCGATGTATTGACCCACCATCCCGTCCTAGAGCTGCAAGTATGCCCCACCTACAATCCTAGATCCAGATCCCCCTGGGCTTTCAAGCAGAAGAAGTGGCGGAAGAGATCAAAATGGGGTTGAATGCCAAGATAAGCCTCGTAGAAATGGATCAAGACAAAGACATGAAGGATGAAGTTTGGGCTCAGATTGCAAAGACTAATCCCGTAATAATCAATCAACCCGTGGAGGAACGAATGGATTGGAACACCAAATCCGCGATAGAAATAATTTTCAAAAACTACTAATTCATCACCACGAGGAGTAGGAAAGCTCTCACCACGAGCCGGACGCCATCCCCCCATCACCCTATCGGGCAGCACGCTGCGCACCACCAACTGATTGAGCGCCGCCTCGTTGCTGACGGACTCCATCCATTCCTCGGCGTGATTGAGCTCGCGCGATCCCTGTCTTGACCCGACATGGCTTCTTTTCGGCGCCATCTCATAGATCTATGGCCTGGAGGAGACTATGTGCCTGCGGTTGCTCTGATGGCGGAGCAGTTGTCAGGCGTAGTGGCGTGGGAGCGAGGAGGACGATGAAGCGGCGGAGATAGTGGGGAATGTGTGCCGGGGCCATAGCGCTCTTATAACCGTTCGACCCCTGACCCTCTGCCTTCTAGGGTTTTTAGGAAACCGCGCCTCCCCCGCCGCATTCTCCCCTGAAATCTCCGCGCGCCCCGTTGGATTTTTAAATGGGCCTGGTGGGTCACTGCATCAAACCACGTTAAATGCGGGCCGACGAAACAGATTTCAATGATAAGCGTTGCTTCGACGGAGTTTTTCAGATATTTTTTCTCTGACCCTGCTACAAGATATCTTCGCAATCTTCCAGTAGGCTCGGGGACTACGTGTGTACACGTCATCTAGCGATGACTGTACAATTTTTCTAAGCTAAGCTGGGGACTGCTTCGGCACCTGAAGACTACTGTTTTGAACCCTAGCATCACGTGACTACTTCACCTACTGCCAGGCTCGGGGAGTAAGTGGGCACACTTCACCTGACAGTGAATGTGCTCATCTCTGGACTTGGTCTTCTACAAAGTGACTAAGTCATAGACCGTAATCGTTCAAGATCCCTGTTCCGGCTCTAAGAGCCAATTTCGCCTAAGGCATTGATGCTAAGCATCTCTCTTCATTCGTAAGGGACTAAGTTCCTCCGCGCTAACTAAGTCAGGGACGCTAAGCGTCAACCTTGCCGTCCGAAACTTGCTTTCAAGTGAGTTCAAGCTTGGCACCCAGACAAACAGCTCGGACGATTGCCTCAACAGCTCGAACGCTGGCCTCAATAGCTTGGACGCCTGACTAATTGCTCGGACATCTTCTTCAACAGCTTGGCTCCTAGTTAGACAGGTCAGAAGCCTCTTCCTGACAATTAGTGATGTGTTGATCAGCTCGGACAAGCTCAGGACGGTGTTGCTCAGAGGATGCAAGGTGCTCGAGGACTAGCTAGGGGGGTATGACCCACGATACCCATAGGGCTGTACATGGGCCAAGCCGCTAGGGGAGGCCCAGCCCACAATGACTGTGCATGGGTCGCGCTACTAGTGGAGGCCCAGCTTACAAGACGACTCCACGTGAAGCACGGCACAGGTCCACGTGCCTCGCAAGACTGCGTGAAGATCCTCGGTGATCTAGGAAATCCGCTCGGATATGCTAGATCTCGTAATATATGTAACTTCCTATCTTGTAAATCGATCAGGATAGAAACAATCGATCTGTAACCCTACCCTGGGCTATATAAGGTAGGTAGGGACGCCCTCGTTATTATTTGATCGTACACAATACAACCCACTGAAAAGACACAGGACGTAGGGTATTACGTCAAGTCGGCGGCCTGAACCTGCCTAATCATTGTCTCTTGCGTTTTGTGTCACTGTCCGGTTTCCTCATGCGCACCTCCATCGATTCATCTACTACTGTGGGTATACCCCTTGGTAGACTGCCGACTAGATTTTATCGACAAGGGGCAACTCATTCACAGTGGCTTATGGACGGGGAGTGCAAGATGTGGAGGCTGCAATACTAGATAACGGCAACTTTGTCCTAAGGAGCATCACGAACCAAAGATAAGATCATATGGCAGAGCTTTGACTTTCCTACGCTCCCTGAAATGAACATTACACTTGGTAGTAAACTGATCTCATGGAAAGGGATTATTAACCTTTTATCATTATAACGATTGGCACATCTTCATTTTCGCGAGAAAGAAAACAGAAAAAAAATACTACTTTTGCTTGAGTGGCACCACAACCCTCGCCCTAGTGTGGATCCAAGTCAGCAAGGGCATGTCAAATGTCCCTCCTGCCCCTGCTCTTTTGCTACTCGCCATGTCCTTTGTCTGTCCCTGCTGACTTTGGCCGTGTTTGATTTACTGGGCCTTCCTAGATTTTCTGAGTTGAGCGCTCGACGACGAGGCAGAGATATGGTGGTGGAGCCACTGGTGCACAAGGTGCTCTATGGCGACGTCGTCCTCCTCCAAGAAGGTGTGGCCGACGGCGAGCGCCAAGGGCGGCGTCGAGGCGGCGGCCGCTGGCGACGGCAGGGTGGGCATCCTGTCCTTCGAGGTAGTCGATAATATGTAGCAGCAGCAGGTAGTTGATTGAGCTTTTTACCTGAATGGTCCTAGAAAAAATACATCTTCCTTGTATGGCCCTTTTTTCAAACTTCCTTGTATGGCCTCAAAACGAATTTATCTTCCTTATATGGCCTTCCGTCGTATTTGTTAGGGTGTACCGTTAGTTTCCCCACTGGATGACATGCTAAATGACTGAAATTCCCTTCTACTTTCTTCCTTCGTATCCTCTGGTTCCTTTCTCGCCACACCTGACCAAGATCGAGCGGGTTCGAGAAAAAACGCCGCCGCCACGTACATAGGGGAGATGGACGCCGCCGCCGGCCCTCCTGCCACCGGATCCGCCGGATCCAGGGCCGGCCAACCTTTCTCCCGTCGCCTACCAGCGAGCTCCGCGTGGAGGAGGCGCCGCCGCCCGAATGGTAGCGCGAGCGCGGCCAGGGTAGGTCCGGCGCGGCTAGCCCGGCGCCCCATCAGGCGGCCCCTCCCACGTCCTATGTGGAGCGGCCGGCCCCTCCAGCGGCAAGCCCGGCGAGCCACCAGGCAGCCCCTCCCACGGCCAGTCCGCAGCAGATGTGTTTGTGAACTATGACTGATCTTGAGGGACCAAATCTTTTTAAACGCACGGTAATCATATGTTTTTTTTTCAAATATCCACAAAGCATAGCTTCTAAATATCTTAGTCTTTTTTTCTTTGGCTTGTAACACATCTGATTGATAATATGTCTCCTACCAAGTTAGTGCACTCTCAAGAATAGCACAAGGATCTCAAATTGCTAATACTAACTCCATTGCGTCATCCCAAACAATTTCTTTAAAAGGCTCGTCTCTCTAGGCTACTATGATTCAGGTTACTCGAGCCTCCTTTATGATTTTTTATTTATTGTTAGTTTGACATGAAGATTTTTATTGCAGTGCTTGGTGAGTATTTTGAAGTTATTGGCTGATTGGGAGCAACTTCGAAGAGATTCCTCAAAGCAAGGGAGCATTGTTGAATCTCGTGAAGATGATGCTTCAAGGAGCTTGGCAACTTCAAATTCTTCAATTTCCGCAACTGTAATGCTGGGATCAAATCAAATATTGAGGGATTCTGTAGTCCAATCGTTGAAAGAGTTGGTTGGAAAACCTGCTGAACAAATCTTTGTAAACAGTGTAAACTGCCAAGTGATTCAATTGTTGAATTCTTTACCGCCCGTTGTGACGTTTCTGCTGAAGAGCTAAAACAAACACATGCTCGTTCGTTGTATGTGATACCAATGTATGTTTGAATTCGCACTTTTGTGTGACCTTATTTATGTGAGACTGAAAATATGGTGGATTTGTGAATAATTTTATGTCAACCTATGGTTATATGCATTTGTGAAAAATTTTATGCATTTGATAAGCTCACTTTATTGCAATATATTTGTGTACTTGACTATGTGTCCTATTATGTAATGTTATGTGTGAATTTATTTGCTTAATATTACTCCAAATATACAACAAACAAAACTATGCATTTTATTTTTTTTTCACTAGGGGTAAAACGGTCATTTTACCCTTAACTTAACACCGTCAAGTAGCAAAAACGGACGGAAGGTCATAGAAGGAAGGAAATTTCGTTTCGACGCCGTACAGGTAAGTTCAAGAAAAAAACGGCCATACAAGGCAGATACATTTTTTTCCAGGGCCATATAGGTAAAAAGCTCTAGTTGATTAGACTTTACTAATTGCTATCAGATGCATCATTTCACATAGCAGGAATTAATAAAAACTAATTTTGTTCTTGTAATATATATGTAACATTCTCAATTTGTTTGCCTGGAAGCTGGACTTGCACTGTGTCCCTTTGATGTTTTGCTCTCCTCTACACTTTTTTTCTTGAATCGTTTATAGGGTTGATTATTATTAGGTCAAAGTCTAACAGATGGAAAATGTGGAGCATGATTGCAACAGCTGAGAGATAGTCAGTTCCCTGTCAAAATATCTTTCTCAAGTGGAAGACCTGGTTGCCAATCAGTGCATAGAGCTTAGTACGCCAGTATTGACCGACGACTAGAAAATTGGCTTCATAGTTCTATCATGGAACTTTCAAAACTGGTAACTTTGAATGTTCATAATGTTGGAGATATCTGCACGAACAATTTCCCCACATGGCACTCCCCACCACACAATCGCTTCCCCACCCCCAACACAATGATTGCAGGAAACATTTCACTTGTTTGGGAGAATTCAGAGAGGTATGGAGAAATGCTTATGCCCTTTCCTCATCATTATGTCAGTATATCTCTCTCTACTACTTTGTTTTGATTAGCCTAGTTTGATAATCGGAGTTAAGCAGATAGCCATGTTTGGGAAAATAAGCTTCTGGAGAAACTGCATGCTTGTTGATTTGCTGATTCTATCTGTATTAGCAACAAGATGTTTGTCAGCTCCCACGGCAAGAACAGACATCATCTTTCAGAACCAGTCAATTTCAGATGGGCAGACCCTGGTGTCCATGGGAAAAGAATTTGTGCTCGGTTTCTTCAGCCCTGGAGCTTCGAGCAACCGGTATGTTGGTATATGGCACAACGATGTTTCAGAAAGAAGAGCTGTCTGGGTTGCTAATAGGAATAATCCATTACAAGATACTTTTGGCGTACTTAAGTTTGATAACAATAGTAATCTGATTGTTTTAGATGGGAGGGGAAACTCATTCACAGTGGCTTATGGGAGAGGAGTGCAAGATGTGGAGGCTGCAATACTGGATAGCGGCAACTTTGTCCTAAGGAGCATCACGAACCAAGATAAGATCATATGGCAGAGCTTTGACTTTCCTACAGATACATGGCTCCCTGAAATGAACATTACACTTGGTAGTAAACTGACCTCATGGAAGAGCTATGATGACCCAGCAGTCGGGGATTATTCTTTTGGACTTGACAGAACTAATGCGCTTCAACTCATTATCTTGTGGAAAGGTTATAATTATTGGACCTTTGGACCCTGGACCGCTTCTATGAAATCTCTGATTCCAGAGCTAACAAATATTCCTATCACCCCTGTTTCATTTCAATGTGGCAATCTTACATGCACATACACTCCCAATCCTAGAGACACAATGACAAAGATTGTGTTGGATCCGGATGGTTCATTGAACATTGCCCAATTTAGTCGTGGAACTGAGTCATGGACTCTCTTATGGCGACAGCCTGCTAGCTGCGAGGTGTCTAACTTATGTGGTGTTTTTGGTATATGCAACAACAGTATGTCAGATGACAGTATAGCATATGAATCCCCCTGTCGCTGTCCAAAAGGCTTCGCACAAGCCTCTCCGGGAAATACCAGGAAAGGTTGCACGAGGCAAATCCAACTGCAGTGTAATGGGGATAGGTTTATTAGTATGTCTAGTATACGACTCCCTGACCCCAGTGTTAAACTTTCTGCTATCGGAGAGAGCAAATGCCAATTGGAATGCATGACAAAGTGCTCCTGTACTGCATATTCTGTATTGGATGGTTGCAGCCTATGGTATGGCAATCTAACAAATATGCAGGACGGATATAATGGGAGTGGAGTAGGAACTCTATATCTTCGTGTTGCTGCATCTGAGTTAGAATCAACCAATAGTTCAGGTATGAAATGTGTACCATAAGGAAGTACTCCCTCCTATTCTTTATATAGGGGTTATCATTAGGATATGAAATGGTCCAACCAGAAGTTTGGCCAACAAGTAGTCAAATTATATGCATGTTCAGTGTGTAAAAATTGTACCAGTAGATTCATATTTCGCATACCTTTTATATGGTATTAAAGCTTTTAACAATTGGTAATATATTCTAAGATAAATTAGTGATATTTTGGACAGTATAGCTACTTGAAAGAGAAGTAATCAATCCCTGTTTTGGAAAGTACTATGAAGTACGAACTGTTTCTCCAAAAGATAAATTTTTCACAAAGGAAAGTGTATTATGAACCATGAAGTCAAGTGGCAAACTCTCTTTCTTCTTATTCAGGTCACAAATTACTTTGGATAGCTGGTGTACTTCCTTCAGTTGGATTTCTTATTTTTTGTGTAATCTTGTTTATTTGGATCAGGAGATCAAAAAATAAAGGTAACTATTAGAAAGCCACGAGAACTCTTTGATAGCTAAACAAAATTCCAACCTTTTATATGCAGTGTGGTTGAAAACATAACAATAAGTCTGTGTATGAATCAGGGAAAGGAAAACAGGATGGTCATCACTCCGTAATGACTTCGGATGCTATCAAACTCTGGGAGGGTGAGGAGACAAGCTCTTATTTTGCGACGTTTTCCTTTTCACAAATAAGAAATGCTACAGACAAATTTTCAACAGAAAACATGCTTGGAGAAGGGGGGTTTGGCCCTGTGTACAAGGTACCATATGTTCTTCAATCCCTCTGCTTCACATACTTGTCAGCATTTCACAAACTAGATAAGAATGCTGGTGCGGAAGCATGAGGTTACGTATCTATGGCTGTACCCTATCTTTTTTTCCTGAAAGGATGGCAATGGCTTTGCCACTTTTTTTTTTTTTTTGAGGAGGGGCAGGAGCCCTACTGAAATATATTAAAAAAAATAAAAGCAAATACAAGAAGCTACAACCAAGAGAAAGTTCAAGAAACAAAAAAAGGAGGTGAAGAAAATAAAGAGGAGAAGAACTAATGAAAAGTGTTCTGCATCCATGATACAAAAGATGGTTCAGATTTCTTGATCCTCCACATTTAGTGGTGAAGTTCCTTCCTGAAGTTGTGCTTGCATTTTTGCGTGCTGGGTTGAATTCCATTGAAAATCAGATCATTCCTTTCTTGTTGTTGCCATATAATTCAAATTCAAATAATTTACATGGAAAAGGTAAACTAAAGAGAGGATATTAGACATGAGGGATATATGTCATGACATGGAGATGAAGGCGCTGTTTTCATTTTTCAAATTTACCTACATAAGTACGCTACTATATATGTTCATACCTATGTTAAACAATGGATCTTGACTTTGCTTGGCATCTAGACTAGTTGTATCATTATTCATACCTATGTTAAATAATTAGTCTATTTATTGTCCTTTACGTCTGCATTCACTTTCAGTTTATTTATTGTTTAGCACACCATTTGACATTTCAAGGAGTTCAAGACGATTAGTCACATTTTGTGTGCAGCAATACTATCTGATTTCTATCTACATTGAAAACCATTCTATAGGGCCACTTACCAGATGGGCGGGAGATTGCTGTTAAGAGACTAGCAGCAAATTCAGGGCAAGGGTTACCTGAGTTTAAGAATGAAGTCCTGCTTATTGCTAAGCTTCAGCACAGAAATTTAGTCCAGCTGTTAGGTTGCTGCATTGAAGAGGAAGAGATGTTATTAGTGTATGAGTACATGCCGAACAAAAGCTTGGATTTCTTCTTATTTGGTATGTTTGATTTTCGTTTCTTATTCCTATTTCTTCCAATTTTCTCTCAGCTGCCTTCTTGAACCAGTGAGTCTATTTTTTTCCCTTGTCAAGAAAAATCAAGAAGAGTTTTGCTAGACTGGGAAATGCGGATGAACATAATTGAAGGGGTTGCACAGGGTCTTATTTATCTCCACAAGCATTCTCGACTTAGAATTATTCATAGGGACCTGAAAGCAAGCAACATTTTGTTGGACACTGATATGAACCCTAAGATCTCGGACTTTGGGATGGCGAGAATATTTGATCCCAAAGGAACACAAGCTAATACGAAACGAGTTGTCGGAACATAGTAAGTTCTTGCTTACTTTGTGCTTTGCATTTGATCTATGTGTTAGATTGTACCGAGTCTTAGTGCTATAGGTAGGGTTAGAGTGTACCGGGTCTTAGTGCTATAGATAGACTAGGGTTAGACTAGGTGGGAATGGGAGGGTCAATGCCAAAGTCGATGCAGTTAAGCTGCTTGAGACGAGGCGTGGCTGGGTTTGCCAGACCTAGCAACATGTCAGGGACGAACGCACGCACCGGTGTTGCCAATACCGGACGTACAAGGTAGAGGGCCCCAACCATGCATCAACGTCTGAGGGACTAGCAAAGAAGGTCTCGACGACGGTTGCGGTGCGCGGAGCAGTGGAGTAGAAGGCGTAGCACGCGGTTGTCGGCGTAGGAAAGATAACGATGCTGATGCTGTGGTTGTGCTGGACGAAGAAGAAGCAGTGCGGGAGGGGATGCATCGGCGAGGGGGCTCAACGGCGATGCGAGGGGGCGGCCGACGAGCAGGGCTTAGCGACTGCCCGAGTAGTGGCAGCTCGATGACGAAGACCTGATCAGCAGGACGAAGACCTTGTGCAGACAGATGGCGCGGCAAAGATTGTGCAGCACAATCATCGATGCACAGGGGACGGCGATGTAGATGCAACGGCGAAGCTGACACAGGCGGCGGTGCTATGGCCCGACGAGGCGACACAACAGCAAGCCAATAGTTCTGTTGCTCGGAGAAGATGCGCGTAGAACTCGGCTGTGGACGTCACAGGAGCCGGGTGGATTGCGCATAATTGGTTGTACGGACCGAGTACATGCGGGGTGTAGCGACGCTGGAAGAAGTCGGCGGAGGTGTCCCGATCTATGGTGGCGATGACGAACCGACGATGTAGACGTGCAAGCTAAATAACCAAGAAGCGATGCAGGAAGGCGTCCCCTCGGCATCGCAAGCCTCGACCAAGCCGCATAGTCGAAGATGTAGATGTCGGTGAAGTCAATGCCGATGCCAGAGTAGTATGCGCGATGTCGACAGGCGGTGGGTGACTCAACCCCGATCAGTGATCGGGCAAAACTAAAAAGATACAACAGCAGGGGATCGGGTGATACAACAACAGGGGATCGGGTGTACCCACCGAGACAGCACGGCGGCAATGGCGCAGCCCGATCGGGCGGCGCCCCAGCGACAGTGCGCCTCGGCGCGGCTCGTCCCAGCCGGCGGGGCGAGCTGACTAAATCGGACGGGGCGGCGCGACGCGGGCGCATGGCGGGTCGTGGTTGCGTGGGGTCGCACGAGGATGGCTCATAGTGACCGGCCGCCACCATGGCGGCTCGGTGTTGGGGTCGACTTGGCCTGGCGACCACCACGGTGGCGCGGGATGAGGTGACACCTAGCGTCCTCCACGGCGAGAGCGGAGAGGGCGACGAGGTGGTGCGGCATCGCGAGAAGGCCCGATTTGCTGCTGACGACGACAAGGATGGCAACCCGATCAATAGGATCGGGAGCCTAAATAGGGGCGCTGCCCCCGGTGGAGATCGATCTCTCCCCGGGGGCGCGCAGTTGCGGAAGCTAGCGGTGGTGGCTAGGATCAACACGCGACTGATGCCATGTAAGAATGTGAACAAAGGTATGGATGGATGTATTGCAATGAGACTCTCGGTACATATGGAGTGCCTACATGCTACATGCTAAGATGTATGGCTAAGAGCAACCTAGTCTATCTATAGCGCTAAGACCCGGTACACTCTAACCCTATCTATAGCACTAATACTCGGTACACTCTAACACTATGAAGCTAATTTTGATTAGACTGAAAATTGGATATTGATTTTAAATGATTTCTATTCTTCCAGTGGCTACATGGCTCCTGAGTACGCTATGGCAGGCAATTTCTCCACCAAGTCCGATGTATTTAGCTATGGAGTCTTGCTTCTGGAGATTATCAGTGGAATGAGAAATGCTGGATCTCGAAGACATGGCAACTCTGTTAGCCTCCTTGGTTACGTAAGCATGTTATAAAGATAACAAAAATTCTTAGTATGTTATTTTGTAAGTGGAGCACTTCTAACTTGGTTGCTGCTGGAACTGAACTTTGCAGGCATGGGAACTATGGAACGAAGGCAGATGCCATGAGCTCATTGACAAACCATTACACGGTAGGTGTCCTGAGAATGTAGCGCTAAGATGCATTCATGTCAGCTTGTTGTGTGTTCAGGAGAAAGCTGCGGATCGACCCTCCATGACTGAAGTCATTTCAATGATTACCAATGGAAGTGCCACCTTACCAGACCCAAAGCAACCTGGTTTCCTCTCCATGTTGGTCCCAAATGAAACTGATATCGCTGAAGAAACATGCTCCGTCAATGGTCTCTCAGTCACCATCCTTGACGGAAGATAGTACTAATACAAATCTCTGCTGTTCTTTGCTTGGTCAATGCATACGTTACCATTGCATGAATTTGCATGGTATTTCCCAAAGTTATATTGCGGGAACCTGAAATTTAGCACGTCTTACAAAGTTTTAACCTGTTCATAACATATTCTCATCGAGGCTAATGATATATTAGGATCGTTACAAAGAGTCCTTAGAGGAACATATGGACATATGGTTGTTGCTGATGCTAACCTGACATTATGACTTTCTGATTTCAGCTGGTGCCAAAGGCAACTATATGCTATCTTTTAGTCTATTAGGTCAAAATTCAACACAATTGAGCGACAAACGAATTGGCATAAATATTTCATCGGTGGGGGATTGCCTTCTCTCTCCCTCTCTAGATGATGGGGACAATGTCAGTCGCGGCATGTTCATATGCATGGCTCATTCATTTTGACTTTTGATTGGTTTGGCGAGCTAAGGCCTATATAAGGGGTGTTTGATTTGTGGCACACAGTTGTAAAAAAAAAAAAGCGTTCTAATGTGTGCAAGTTGCCCAAACAATCTTTGTCCGTTGCATGCATGACAACGATGGCGATTGGTGAGATTTGATTAGTTCCTGTTTGACTTTGACTTGTGGTGCATATTTCAATTTACAACATGACGATGGTATAGATAAGACCGTGCATTTAGCTATTCAGAGTAACAGGGCTGTTGGGCAAGTTAACAGCTTGCATCCAGCTACGAACCGAGGGAGATCCAAACACCCAAAAGTCCATTTTCTTCAGGTTTGTCGTATACTCGTAGTATATCTTATCTTCGTGTGGTCAAGCGAAAATATGGTATGCCTAGTTGCACTTGCATCCAGTTGGAAGTTGGGAACCGAGAGCATCTGACCGGGTTCCCAACCGCAAACAAGAGCTGCATTAGCTATTCATTACTGTCACTTCTGGTGCAACGGCTCTTGTTTGCCGTTGGGAACAGGATTAGCCGCAAGAGCCGAGCTTCCAGAGTCTTGTTTCTGCAACGGTGCAAGCCCGACCGCGCGCGCCCGGATCGCTGGCGGCATGCATCGAACTCGGCGTCTGATCGGCAGCCGGCAGGCAACAGCTAGCTCTCCCGGAGCGCCAACGTCGAGTCGTTGACTGAGCTTTATTTGCGGCCGCTGCTCCATATGCAGCCGGCGACGACGTGGCCCTGTGGGCGTAACAAATGCGCGAACAGCCTCGCACTCTCACACCGCTGCGGGCGGGCATTTCCTGCTGCTGATTGTTGCTGGCACGAGTGACAGCCACCACCACCCGATCGGCTGACCGTGCAGGCGATCACGCAAGGCATAAGGCCATGTCGTGAGAGGAGAAGTCAACGGCTGGTTTCCTCATCGGTAACCATGAGGGCGCGCACGCTCTCCCTCCTCCTCCTACTCGCCGCCGCCGCCAGTTCCTTCACCCCCTCGACATCCACCGACACCATTTACAGGAACACGTCCCTCATCGGCAACCAGACGCTAGTCTCGGCCGGCGGCATCTACGCGCTGGGCTTCTTCAGCCCGGCCGGCGCCGACGGCAGGACGTACCTCGGAATCTGGTATGCCAGCATCCCGGGCCCGACGACCGTCGTGTGGGTCGCCAACCGCAGGGACCCGGTGGTCAACTCCCCGGCCGCTCTCCAGCTCTCCGCCGGCGGCCGGCTCGTCATCCTCGACGGCAACAACGACACCGTGTGGTCCTCCGCGGCGCCCACCGTTGGGAACGTCACCGCGCGCGCCGCCGCGCAGCTCCTGGACACCGGCAACCTGGTGCTCAGCGCCGACGGCAGCGGCTCAGGGCCCAGCGTGGCGTGGCAGAGCTTCGACTACCCGACGGACACGCTGCTCCCGGGCATGAAGCTCGGGGTGGACACCAGGGCCAGCATCACCCGGAACATCACGGCGTGGCGCAGCGCGTCCAACCCGTCGCCGGGCGACGTCACGTTCAAGCTGGTCATCGGCGGCCTGCCGCAGTTCTTCCTCCTCCGGGGCAGCACGAGGGTGTACACGAGCGGGCCGTGGAACGGAGACATACTCACCGGCGTGCCGTACCTCAAGGCGCAGGCCTTCACCTTCAAGGTGGTGTACAGCCCCGACGAGACGTACTACAGCTACTTCATCCGCGATCCGTCACTGCTGTCGCGGCTGGTCGTGGACGGCACGGCGACGCAGCTGAAGCGGTTCTCGCTCAACAACGGCGCTTGGAACAGCTTCTGGTACTACCCGACCGACCAGTGCGACTACTACGCCAAGTGCGGGCCGTTCGGGTACTGCGACACCGACCGCTCCCCGCTGTGCAGCTGCCTGCCGGGGTTCGTGCCGCGCTCGCCGGACCAGTGGAACCAGAGGGAGTGGTCGGGCGGCTGTGTCAGGAGCACGAACCTGAGCTGCGACGGCGGCGGCGGCGACGGGTTCTGGGTCGTGAACCGGATGAAGCTGCCGCAGACCACGGACGCCACGGTGTACGCCGGCATGACGCTGGACCAGTGCAGGCAGGCGTGCCTCGGCAACTGCAGCTGCGGGGCGTACGCCGCCGCGAACAACAGCGACGGGGTCGGCGTCGGGTGCGTCATCTGGACCGTCGACCTGCTGGACATGCGGCAGTACCCGATCGTCGTGCAGGACGTGTACATACGGCTCGCGCAGTCGGACATTGACGCCCTCGAGGCTGCAGCAGCAGGTTCTGATTCTGATTTTTTTTAGATTTCTTTTGATTCCGCAGTTCAAAATCTTGTACGTAATTTTCTTTCTTGATTGATGCTTGACCACACCTCTTGTTCTTGATTACAGGTAACCATCAGCGTTCAAACAAGAGCAAGCTGATCATCATCATTGTCGCGACTATTTCCGGTGTACTTTTTCTGCTAGCAGCGGTTGGATGCTGTTGTTTCTGGATGAAGAAGGCAAGCAGGAAAGGTGAAGGTGAGGATATGTCGTCCTTGCCTCCGAGTACTGCAGATTTCGCGCTTCCGCACAGGATCAGGAGCCAGCCTTCGTTGAGCCCAGTACGGGATCACAAACAGCTTCTTGATGTCTCGGAGGAAACGAGATACTCCGACAAAGATGTTGACCTTCCATTGTTTGAGCTGGAGGTGATTCTGGCCGCCACGGACAACTTCGGGGAGCACAAAAGGATTGGAGCAGGTGGATTTGGCCCTGTTTATATGGTAAAAAACACACAATTTACCTAGTAATATTGTAATTTAGCTTGCTGGTTGTTCTATGTAATTATTACTAACTGTAACTGCAAGGAATCATTTCCAATGGCAGGGAGCTCTTGAGGATGGACAGCAAGTAGCTGTGAAGAGGTTGAGCCAGGGATCAACTCAAGGGGTGAGGGAGTTCATGAACGAGGTGAAACTGATCGCGAAGCTGCAGCACAGAAACCTTGTGAGGCTGCTCGGCTGTTGCATCGAGAACGATGAGAGGATGCTTGTGTACGAGTACATGCACAACCAGAGCTTGGACACATCTATATTTGGTTAGTCCATTTCTACTTCTACATGCTTGAGAAGAGCACCTTGAATTGAATCCGTATGAGGTGATTAGGTAATTTATATGCCACTACTCCATGCATTACTTATGCAGACGAAGCAAAGCGCAGGCTGTTAAGATGGCAGAAACGGTTCGAGATCATTCTGGGGATTGCACGGGGTCTGCAGTATCTACACGAGGATTCAAGGTTCAGGATCATCCACAGGGACCTCAAGGCTAGCAACGTGTTGCTGGACAGGAACATGGTCCCCAAAATCTCAGATTTTGGCATCGCAAGAATGTTTGGGGGTGACCAGACCACTGCATACACCGGAAAGGTCGTCGGAACATAGTGAGTGTCCACTTCCTAGCCCTTGTGCCAGTTGTATATTCAGTACTGTAAAATTAAAATTGACCTTAATTCTCTTGACTCGTGAGACGGGTTTCAGTGGCTACATGGCTCCAGAATACGCCATGCACGGCCAAATCTCGATAAAATCCGACGTGTTCAGCTTCGGCGTGCTGGTGCTGGAGATCATCGCCGGCAGGAGGAACCGAGGCTCCTACGAACCTGACCTCGATGTCAACCTCCTAGGATATGTAAGTAGCAGCTAGCAACACTTGTCACAAGCAATTCTTCAGAAGGAATTCTGAACGAACTTTGTCGTCGTTGATCTTCGTTCTAGGCATGGATGCTGTGGAGAGAAGGGCGGAGCATGGAGTTACTGGACGAGGCATTGGGCGGCAGCTTCCACCACAGCAGGGTGCTGCGGTGCATCCAGGTGGCGCTCCTGTGCGTCGAAGCGCAGCCGAGGAACCGGCCGCTCATGTCGTCGGTGGTCACGATGCTGGCCAGCGACAACGCCGTGCTCCCCGAGCCCAACGAGCCCGGGGTGAACCCAGGGCTGAGCACGTCGTCGGACACGGAGTCGTCTCGGACCCGAAGCGCGACCGCCAACTACGTGACGGTCACCGGATTAGAGGCGAGGTAGCTTGGAACTGTACACATTTGTTGTGTTTCGAAATGCGAACTTGCGAAGGTTGAAACTGTGCATAAACGTATGTTCGTTTTTGTTTGTTGTTTGTTTCAGGTCCACGTCCACTGGCCACTCTTCCCTGTAAAGTTTGCACAGTTTGTAAAGAGTACATATTGCATTGAGAAGCTCCTGCATTCAATTTACTGAAACCGTTATCGGGCCTTTTTTTTAAAATGGACAAATTTGGTCTTTTGACTGGTTTCGTAGGTTCTTTTATATTTTCTAAAATATAATTAATATCTAGTTTGATATCTTAAAACTATAATTAATTTATTTTAAATTATAAAAATATGAAACTTGTATATTTTTTCTAAAATGTCATGTACCTATTTTTTTTTAAAGAATGTGTACCTTTTATGATCTATATATTTGAAACTGGTTTGCTTTTATTTCTGTTGCTTTATTGCTTGTAGTCATGTTTATTATTTATTTCAAATAAATAAAATCCAAATAACCCTAAATAAATTAGCAGCGGGTAGATA